GGGCGGGGGGCAGGGGGAGTGGGGCAGGGAGGCAGGACTCCCTGAGCACGCCCCTCAGCCCTGGGGCTGGCTGGGAGCCGGGTGGGCTTGTCTCGGGAAGAGACTTTCCAGGGGCGACGCCCCGGCCTGCAGACTCTGTCCTGGAGCCACGCGGCCACAACCACTCACGAGCTGGGCGGGTGCACAGTGCCCCCATCTTTCCGGACCCGTGCTCTTCTTCCTCCGCTTGGCTGCTGAGGCTCGGGGACGGTGCCGTGTCTGTCTGCCGTCCACTGCTGCCCGGCAGCCGGGTCACAGCCCAGCTGGGCGCCTGCCAGCTCAGGGGACCCTGGACGGTCGTGTAGCCTATGTGCCCCCGTGTCCCCCGCTGCTGACGTCCCCTGGTGGCCACGCCTCCACGCCGGTCTCTCCCTCGGCGTTGTCTGTGGCCCTCCCTTCGGCCGCCCACCCTGTCCAGGAGCACTGGACCCACAGGAGAGCTCGGCCCAGTGGGCCTAGGGCTCTGGGGTGCTGTCTCCCCACCCTGTCTGCACAGACTAGGAGCCTAGCTGCTCTGACAGCCAACGTCACGGGCAGCACCCGGTGGCCGGCCTGGCAGCCAGCCCTGCACCCGCTCCTCCGGGCCAGGGTGACGCAAGCAGACCCCGCGGTCCTGGCCTCCCTGGGCCCATGGACGCGCCGCTGCCCCTCCCCGCACTCCCCGTGCTTTGACCCAGGGCGAAACCAAGGCCTGCCTCTGTTTTGACAGCACTCGGGCCTGTCCTTCCCAATTGAGAACTTCCAGGCCCGGGCGTCAGGAGGCCCAGATTCCTGCCCAGCCTGGCCCCACACAGCTGAGCTGGCTCCTGAGTTGGGCATTTGTCCCCTCCAGACTTCGCAGTTTTGGTTTCTCAGCTGAAAACGGAAATATTCCCGACCACGCCGGGCCACTGGGAAAACCTGCGAGGCTTGCTCGTGAGCAGGCTGGCTGGCGCTGGGTGCTGCCCCTGCTGGGTGGGCAGCCCCACGCTGGGCCCACCGGGGGCCTGAGGGCTGCTGCAGACCTCCCGCCCACTTCCGCAGGGCTGGGCACCCTCCTGACTCTGGTCCTGAGCTCCGGCCCCCGGCCCTGCCCCCAAAGCGGGGTCAAGCGCCTGCTTCTGCTCGCGTGCCCACCCGGCCCCCTGCCCCCCGCCCCACACCCAGCCCGGCTCACCGAGCCCCCAGCTGTCTGCCCAGAGGCCCCAGGTTAGACGGTTGGCAAGGCTCTCCCTCTCTCCAGCCGGCGTGGGCGAGGCTGAGGGGGCTCTGGGGGAGAAACAATGCGTGTGGGGGGGCACGCCTGCCAGGGGGGCGGGCATGAGAGTGAGTAGCGTATGGCCCTGTGTGAGCATGTGTGTGTGCAACCATGCGTGTGAGTGGGTTTGCCTGCTGTGTGTAGTGAGCGTGTGTGCATGTGTGCATATGGGACTGCACGTGAACCTGTTTGCATCGTGTGCATGCGTCGTACCTGTATGGGGTACACGCGTGAGATCGTGTGTGGGCTGTGGGTACCACCCCGCTGCACCCCCCACACTGTGGCTCCTGCTCGCTCCCTGGTGGCCCTTCCTCTGGAAAGGGAGTGAGGCCAACGGGTGAAGTGAGCTCCCGAGGTCACCTGGCCACGGCCCAAAGGGCACACTGGCCCCAAGAACTCAGACACGGTGATGGTGAGTGGGGCGGCCACGGGGCACGGCGGCCATCTGCTCTGGCCACACTGGCCACTCTCAAAGTGGGGACTGTGTCCATCCACTGAGGCTGATGTAACAAAGTGCCACGCACCTCTAGCCTAGACAATGCAGGTTATTAATTTAGAGTTCTGGAGGTCTGAAGTCCGAAATGGGACCCACGGGGCTAAAACCAAGGTGTGGGCAGGACTGGTTCCTTCTGGAGGCTCCAGGAGAGGATCTGCTCCCGTGCCTCTCCAGCTTCCAAAGGCACCTGCCTTCCTTCCTGCTTCCCTTGGCTCGTGGCCCCATCTTCCATCTTCACAGGCTCCTGGGATGAGGACACGGACGTCTCTGTGACTGGCACGAGGAGGGGAGAAGGGTGAAAGCAGAGCTGGCTCGCTGAGTGCCCAGCGGGTGGGGCAGGGCACAGGGGTCCGGCAGTGAGGGCAATCTTGCAGCCCAGGGTTGAGCTGGAAGCATCCATATGAACCCACGGCTGTCTTATCTTTCAAACAGCTCCGTCTATGGATAGGCCTGGGAGCGAGGGCCCACTGGGGACAGAGGTCTTGCAATGTCACCCTACAGAAAGGAACCAGAGCAACGGCTGAGCCCAGGGCGGGGCAGGGGAGGTGCAGGGGCAAGAACACGCCGTCCCACCCGGGGGGCAGGCCACCAGACTCAGCCCACGTGGGGAGGCTCCCACCTGCCGGACGGACGATTCAACCTTCATCCAGGAAAGGAAGCCCAGCAGTTTGTAACCCAGACCATGTGTTTAAACTCATGCATAATGATGCTTTCAAAATTACCGGTCATTTTCAGAGGAACCAACTTTCTTTTGAAAACGGATAAAGAACCAGGCATTCACCCTGCCGTTCCCACGTGACACGGCCACCGGAGAACCAATGTGTGGTGGAGGCTGCTCTTCTTTATGGGAGACTCCAGCTGACAGATGGGGGAGGGGCCACAGAGCCAAGAATCCGGGGTCGGTGGCCCCAGGGAGTTAGCCGACCTCAGCGCTGATCACGGCTGGCTGCTAGCATCACGCCCTCTTCGGAAGGCCACACCACCACCCAGGATGTGGCCTTGCTAGAAAAATCAAACAGAACTACCGGATTCCAGGAAACCGGGGACAGAGGACAAGCTTACCACCACCACAGGACACAGAGCAAAATCCAGACGGGAGGAGGTTCACAGGACGACCACGGAACTGCAAGGAAGCCAAAGACAGACAGATGAGAGCGTCTACATTAGAAGAGCCGTAATGGACATGCCAGCCAGGTGTGTGGTCTGACCTTTTTGGAGATCCTGATTCAAACAATCCCCAAAATGGTTGAGACGATCAGGGAAACGTGGCCACTGAATGGCGTTGGGCAGCCACTGTAATTTTTCGGTGCGATAATAGTTTTGTGTTCAAAGGATTCCACTTCCATGAAACTTCTAGAAAAGTTAAAACTGCAGAAAAAGGAGTTCCTGCGTAAAAAAGAAATTCACCATTCACACAGAGAGAGCCCCACTGACCGGGGGAGAGAGGGGCTGGTTCTTGCACCAGGGGATCTCTTTTTTGGAATGGCAGGGCTGGGCGACACCGTGAAGGCAGGGGGGAGTCCCTGCAGGTGGCAGAGAGACGCCCCTCCCCCGCCAGGAGCTAAGGGGCAGGGCGGGCGCGGGAAGCAGGGGGTAGTCCCCAGGACACACGTGACCTGGCCAGGGCAACTAGGAGCAGAAGGTGGGCGGGGACAGGCAGGGGCCTGGGCTGGGACAGGCTGTTGGGGACACCCATTTACGGCCACCTGGCTGACAGCCTCCTGGGGCAGGAGAGCGGGGCCTGGCTGTCAACTGCCTGGTGTAAAGACTCTGCCCGTGGTCAACCTCAAGCTGCCATCATGATGTCAACCGGCTCACCACCATCCCCAGATTTAACTACTGGCCACCAAGAGCCGGTTTGAGCCGGTACGAGCTGGCCCCAGCCCCCACGGCAGCCCTGTGCTGACCCAGCTCTTCCATGCCGTGGGCTCACGGGTCCGACAGGTCTGGCAGGTCAGCTTCGTGACGAGGTCTACAGTGAAGAGGGCAGGGCAGGGGCGCTCGGTCTGCCGGGTGGGTCACAGGCGATAACAGAATCCACTCCAGATGATTTAAGCACAACGAGGTTTATTGAGAGTTCAGAGGCAGTGGGGAGGACAGTAGGCTCGGACTTTAGACCCAGCTTCCGGGAAAGATGGCTCCAGAAACCAACCCAGGCTCCTGCACTTGCCACAACTCCAGAACATTCCATCTCTGCCACGGTCTGCCCAAGCAGCCCTGCCTCCTCCCCAGGTAACTGAGTCCAGGATCAAAATCTCATGTACGTGCATCTCTGGAGAACGCGCTGCAAGGGAGCCTGGGGAGCGTAGTGCAGGAAGGCAAGCCAGCCGGGACAGGGCCGGTGCACGGCACCCACCGAGGGACCCCCAGCACCCGGGGCCAGGCAGTACTGAGCTGCTCAGAACTCCTAGGAGACTGGTCCCTGAGCCCCGGCCTTGACTTTGCCAATGCCCCGGCGTTCTGCTGACCCTGGGCGGAGCTGTTCAATTGAGCCTGGCCCCACTCCAGCCCCCCGCAGCAGGGAGTCCACCCGCACACCTTCCTTAGACCTCCGTGGGAACGCAAGCCTCCTCCGGGGGGCCCTGTAGCAGTACGCTGTGCAGCCCCTGCTTTCAACCGCCGGACACCCCTCATCTCCTGCCCGAGACTACTGTCCATCAGGAAACATACATCCAGACTGGGTCTACCCAACCTCACGTCCGGTTTAAAACTCATCCACCCCGCTGCAGGCCAAGCTGGGGACTGGGGGCCCCGCGGTGGGAGGCGGTCCCCAGGTCGGGCTGTAGGGCCGCGTGCAGGAGGGAAGCTCTTTCGTGCATCCGCAGCTGCGAGCGCCCCCAGTCCCAGCCCCGCAGCAGTCCCGGCGGTGCCTGTCCTGCCTCCCACAGCCTGCAGGCAGCTCCTGGGAGAGGCCTGGGAAGGGCTTCTGGAGTGGAGCCGGGAGCCTCCTCCTCACCAGGGAGAGCCCCCGAGTGTCAGGACGGCCCATCCCCGCACTGGGCCACCCGAGGGAGTGACCCCAAAGCCCAAAGAGGAGGGAGGTTGGGGTACCAGGAGGCCACGGGCGTAGGGCGCCCCCTCCTAGGGTCAGGGTCAGGGTCAGGGGTGGGGCTCTGCATCCGCAGCGAGGCTGGGGACCGAGGGAGCAGCTCAACCAGAGCAGCTGGGCAGGGTGACCTGGCTCCCAAAGGGTTCCATGAGCCCCTCACTGGCCCTCTTCACCCCCCTAGCCCTGCGGCCTCCCTAGAAGCCAGAGCCCCACCACCGACCCCCAGGGGAAGGGAGGCATCGTCACCACCCCAAGCTGAGTGGCTATTCCAACCGTCTGCCCCATGGGGAGCCCCAAAATCACCCTGCCCTGACCCCTGACCTGTGAAGTGTTACCTCCTGTGGCCAAGGAGCTTTGCAGACCAGGCCGTGTGTCTGTATAAAGTGCTCTGAAGGTCCCTATTCGGATCACGGTGAGAGCCGGGGGCCACCCATGTCCCATAGGCTGTGACCCCACTGCCCCCGACAGACGGGGCACCCCCTTTGTCCTGTACCTGACACTGTCAACTCCGATTCTCTCAACGAGGCCAGCGTGACCCTGCCCAGCCTCTGCAGATTTAGGATGTGTCAATCACCCATCGGGGCAGGGGTGGGGGCTGCGTCAGCCGTAGGGCCCGCGGGGACACCCAGCAATATGTGCTCACACACGGCAGCAAGGAAGGGGGTGGGCCCAGGCAGGGTGTCATCCTAAGGGGTCTCTCAAGGAGAGAGAAAAGGAGGGGGAAAGGGGGGGTGGCTGTACCCCGGGACAGCAGAGGGCTCCCAGTACCAGGGGTGTGAGCTTCCGTGAGCAAGAAGGAGCTTTGTGGTCCTGAAGTTCAGTGACTTGGTGGGCTTCTTTGGAGGGAGGTGTCCACTCTGGAACCCCCCCTGAAGGGTGAGGATCCCAGAAAGACCAGGAGAGCCCGGCAGTCTGACGCTGGGCTCAGGGTGACAGGGAGAGGACGCTTCTGGTGTGTCCAGGGTCCTCGGAAAGGGGCAGCCCCACCCCACTCCCCATGCATCCCCCGAAGAGCCGCATTTGAGTGGAACCCAGGATCTGGGCTGATTCTGGCATAAGAGGAAACGGCGAGTTCCCTGGCAGCGGGACAGGGCCCCCCAGTGCAAGGCTTCCCCCACAGCAAGGAGAGACTCCCCCCAGGACGTGAGTAGCAGCCACAGAACCCCGGCACATGACCCTGCACCTCTGCCAGGTCACCTCCCTCGGGCAAACCCACAGGTGGTGAGCTCCTTGTGTGGTTGGACCCCTCTCCCCACTGTGTGCGCCCTGGCATGGGGGGGCAGGGGGACCCAAACCACCCGAGGAGCCTGTGCCTGCTGGTAGGCCAGCAGCAGTGCCCACCCGGGCCACTGGGACCGACAGGCCACGGGAGGTGGTGCCCGGGCCCTGCCTCCCATCCTCGCACCCCTGATCTGGGCGGTGGGCACAGAAGTGGGGTGCTTGCATGTGGGAGGGTATTTGGGAGCTGTCAGTCATTTCTTTTTAATGCACCATAACTGAAAAAGCCAGGACCTTGCTTGGATGGGCCTTTTGGGCGTCAGCTGTGGAGTCTGGATCTCCGAGTCAACCCGTAGATAGGATCAGGCATTCAAGGCCCACTTGAGGTCATCGGACAATCCCCCGGTACAAACCACCCTCTATCTTAATTCTTTCTAAGCATCTGCTTCATGAGGCTTGTAACCTGTACACCTTAAGTTCATACGCAATTTATCCCTATTTGTGCTCCCCCCCAAATATTTGAAACAATTTAAAAATAAGCACTCTTAAAAAAGACATCAAAAAATAAAACTAGAAAGACGGCTCACAGTTAGGTAGGTGGAGGTAACGTCTACCCTGAATGTAGAGTAACACAGCTGAGAGAGTGCTGAGTTCGCTCTGAGATTCCTGGTGGCAGAGGTGAAGACAGACAGAGACGGGGAGACAGAGAGGGAGCAAGGCAGAGAGTTCCTGTTGCTGGAGAAAAGGGAGCATCCCGCTGACCGGCCTTGACACACCGAATATCAGTCCTCCTGTCCTTGAGAAGGAGCGGCTTCGGTGTTCGTGAGTGGAGAGGCAAGGCACGCTACGGACCTGGGATGACGGGCCTTCCCCCAGACCAGGCACAGTGGTGGGACTCGCGGTGGGGACACACGACACTGCCCCCGTTGATGATCCACTCTGGACCTTTCTCGGGTTTCTGTCCGTGGTCTTCTTGGTTTTGGGGTTTTAGGGCTTCTCCCCCGCTCTCCCCGGACTGAAATTTTGGCACAAGTGCTACTCTTAACCAACACTCTGAGAATAAACAAAGTTGTTCAAAGGTTAGTTTGAACTACCTGTTTCACTTACCTCTCGAGAAAAACCTGGTCTCTACTACTTTGCTCTGGAAAGAGTTCTGCGGTCAGATGGGTTCAGGAAATACTACCAGGGGGACAAGGTAAATCAGTTCTGCCTTCCACAGATGAGTCTACACCCCACCGTCTGCGGGGCAGACCTCACACACGTGGACAAGAGCCTTTCTTCTCGGAATGCCATCCACACCGTACAGGCGCCAAGCGGCCGAGGCCGGCAGAGCGCAAGGGACATGGAACGTTATGACAGACGGCCTGGTTTTAAGTCCCAACAGGGTCACTGCCTGACTGTGTGGTTGTGGGCAAGGCCATTTCTCCAAACTCTGGCTTCCTGGCCTGTCAAATGGGCCCGATGGTCACATTTCGGACTTGAAGCGTGGTGCGGTACTTGCAACACAAGGGAGGGGTCTGTGGGGGCGGAATGCCGTTCAGAGGGGGCTGGGAGGCCCCAGCGCGCAGGGCACCGAAAGCTTGGGTCAGCCACCACCTGCTACAGAAGTGAGGGGGACAGGTGGGCGGTGTTCCGCTTCCGCCAGCAGGCACTAGGGCACCGGGCTGATGGGGTCCTTGGACACGGGGGCGCTGGGCAGGGACTTCAGGTACTCCAGGTGCCTCCTGGCATCCTCCTGGTTCTGGCGCACGTAGTACACGACGTAGGTGATCACCATGGCGAACCAGCCGAACATGGTGACCAGCATGGCCACGTCGGTGGTCTTGCGGTGGGTGCTGCAGAAGCTGACCCCGGAGTCCAGAGCCTGGATCAGCGGCTTCCCCACGAACTCCTCCTGCGCGGCTGTGTGGCAGGCGATCTCGTCCACGGACTCGGGGTCCAGCTTCAGCTCCCACAGGGCCTCCTGCAGCGCACACTCGCAGTGCAGGGGGTTGTGGGACAGGCGGATCTTGGCGCTGAGCTTGCCCAGGGCATCCTTCGGAATCCTGCGGATGCGGTTATGGGACAGGTCCAGCAGCCGCAGGCCCCCGGCCAGGCCCGAGAAGGCAGCGGGGCCGATGGTCTCGATGGTGTTCTGGGACAAGTCCAGCTCCCTCAGCTGGTTCAGGTGCTGGAAGGCTCCGTTAGGGACGTGGGTGAGCTTGTTGGCATCAAGCTTCAGGAGCACAGCGTTGGCGGGGATGTCCTTGGGGATCTCCTGCAGGCCCCTCGCACTGCAGTGGACGGCCACGGCCCCGGCGTGCTCAGGGCACTGGCAGCTCAGTGGGCAGGAAGCGCCCAAGCGCAGGCAAAAGAGGAGGATGAGGCAGGAACCCCCAGCGGGGACCGGCAGGGATGAGGGGCTCTGTTTGCCCCCGGGGCCCATGCTGACCACACCTGGGGACTGGTGGACGGCGGTCTCCTCCCACCGGCTGCTGCAGACCTGCGTCCTTGCTCACTCCCCCAGCCACCGCTGTGCAAGTGACCATCTGACACAGGAGCCAACGCTCCCTCCTTCCACTCAAGGAAAAGCGGTGCTCTCCTCCAGCCCTAAAAGAGAGCGGCAATCAGCATCACGGTCCCGCAGGGAACGCCGGGGAACACTCCGACTCTGCGGGAGATGTCAGGGGCACACTGAAGCATCTGACCAGCGGGGGTCTCTGTAACTTCTTTCCGAGATTCCCAAAGCCACCCAGGAAAGCAAGGGCAGGTCGCGCTGACCGCTGGCCGGTCCGGGAACGCTGGACACACCCACGGCACACCTAGGGGAGCAGGGGCTGGCCCGCCGGATGAGGGGCCACCCCTCTGAGCTCCTGAGGCTGGAAACCAGCAAGACGGGGCTGCAGGGGTTTCCTAAGAAAGAGGAATGCAGGGCAGAGGGATGGGCAAAGGACCGGCAACCGAGCGGTGCGCGCTCCTGGCCGCCGGGGTGGCCGCCGCGTGGCGGCCGTGGCCGGGGTGGCGGCTGCCGGAGCTTAGCACTTTGCTCATCCTGACACCCCTCACACAACCGTAAGCTCGGAGAGAGCCCTTCTTTGTCAGCCCAGCGGGGACGAGCACGCGGCCCCGGGGGCGGCGCCTTGCATTTCAGTTGTGGTGGAGAAAGAAGGAAAGCGAGAAGGGAGAAAAGCCAAGCCCTGGGCGCGCGGCCGCGCTGGGGCGTGGAGTGGCGGGGCCGCGCGCGGGGCCTGGCGGGCGGGGCTGGGACCCCAGACC